CAAAAGGTTAATCCAGCCCTTTTTGGGGTGCAGGCTCTGGGATGGAGTTGGGGTGCAGGAGGGTTGCAGGCTATGGGGAGTTTGAGTGAGGGGTGCAGGCTCTGACCTGGGGCAGGGGATTGGGATACAGGAGGGGGTGCGGATATAGACTCATAGACTCTAAGATCAGAAGGGACCATTATGATCATCTAGTCTGACCTCCCGCATGATGCGGGCCATAAAACCTGACCCACCCACTCCTGGAAGAATTCTCTCCCTTCACTTAGCTGTTGAAGTCCCCAAATCATTATTTAAAGACTTCAAGTCACTCAGAATCCTCCAGCAAGCGACCCCTGCCCCATGCTGCGGAGGAAGGCGAAAAACCTCCAGGGCCTCTGCCAATCTACCCTGGAGGAAAATTCTTTCCCAAACCCAAATATGACTATCAGCTGAACCCCGAGCATACGGGCAAGATTCTCTAGCCAGACCTTCTGGAAAAGTTCTCTGTAGTAACTTTTAATATCCCATCATTGACCATTGTTATCGACCTATTGACTAAAATCACTGTATCCCATCAAACCATCCCCTCCATAAACTTATCAAGCTTGATCTTAAAGCCAGAAAGGTCTTTCGCCCCCACTGTTTCCCTCGGAAGGGTGTTCCAAAACTTCACGTCTCTGATGGTTAGAAACCTTCATCTAATTTCAAGCCTAAATTTCCCAACGGCCAGTTTATATCCATTCGTTCTAGTGTCCACATTAATACTGAGCTGAAATAATTCCTCTCCCTCCCTGATACGTATCCCTCAGATATAATTAAAGAGAGCAATCATATCCCCCCTCAGCCTTTTTTTGGTTAAGGTAAACAAACCGAGCTCCTCGAGTCTTCTTTCATACGACAGATTTTCCATTCCTCGGATCATCCTAGTGGCCCTTCTCTGTATCCAGTTTGATTTCATCCTTTTTAAACATGGGAGACCAGAACTGTACACAGTACTCCAAATGAGGTCTCACCAGTGCCTTGTATAACGGAACCAGCACCTCCCTATCCCTACTAGAAATACCTCGCCTAATGCATCCCAAGACCGCATTAGCTTTTTTCACGGCCACGTCACATTGCCGACTCATAGTCATCCTGCGATCAACCAGGACTCCGAGGGCCTTCTCCTCTTCCGTTACTTCCAACCGATGCGTCCCCAGCTTATAACTAAAATTCTTGTTAGTTATCCCTAAATGCATAACCTTACACTTCTCACTATTAAATTTCATCTTATTATTATTACTCCAGTTTACAAGGTCATCGAAATCTCTCTGCAGGATATCCCGATCCCTCTCCGAATTAGCAATACCTCCCAACTTTGTGTCATCCACAAACTTTATCAGCCCACTCCTACATTTGGTTCCAAGGACAGTAATGAATAGATTAAATAAAATCGGACCCAAAACTGAACCTTGAGGAACTCTACTGGTAACCTCCCTCCAACCTGACAGTTCACCTTTTAGTACGACCCGCTGCAGTCTCTCCTTTAACCAGTTCCTTATCCACCTCTGGATTTTCATATCAATCCCCATCTTTTCCAATTTAACCAATAATTCGTCATGCGGTACCGTATCAAATGCTTTACTGAAATCGAGGTATATTAGATCCACCGCATTTCCTTTATCTAAAAAATCTGTTACTTTGTCAAAGAAGAAGATCAGGTTGGTTTGGCACGATCTACCTTTCGTAAAACCGTGTTGTAATTTGTCCCAATTGGCATTGACCTCAAGGTCCTTAACTACTTTCTCCTTCAAAATTTTTTCCAAGACCTTGCATATTACAGATGTTAGACTAACAGGCCTGTAGTTACCCGGGTCACTTTTTTTCCCCTTCTTGAAAATAGGAACCACATTAGCTATTCTCCAGTCAAACGGTACCATCCCCGAGTTTACGGATTCATTAAAAATTATCGCTAACGGGCTTGCGATTTCCCACGCCAGTTCTTTTAATATTCTTGGATGAAGATCATCCGGTCTGCCTGATTTAGTCCCATTAAGCTGTTTGAGTTTGGCTTCTACCTCTGATTCGGTAATGTCAATCTCCACTCCTTTATTCCCATCCATCTCGCTTCTACTATTCCTCGGCCTTTCATTAGCCTCATTCAATACCGATGCAAAATATTCATTTAGATATTGTGCCATATGTAGATTATCCTTAATCTCCACTCCATCTACAGTCTTAAGCGGTCCCACTTCTTCTTTCTTTGTTTTCTTCCTATTTATATGGCTATAAAAGCTCTTACTATTGGTTTTAATTCCCCTCGTAAGGTCCAACTCTACTCGGCTTTTGGCTTTTCTCACTCCATCTCTACATGCTCTGACCTCAATAAGGTAGGTTTCTTTGCTGATCCCCCCCCT